GGGCACCTGTCAAGAGAGACCCTCAAGCACACAGTGGGTGGTCATTTGCTGCGGATGCTGCAGAAGGGATTTATGCATTTGGAGGACGTGGATTATAAGAAGAACGAGGGCTTTGTACAGTCCTTGCCAGCCCTGAGACTCGGGGACTCTCTGGACCCACCCCGCCTGCCAGAGCAGGGACAATTTTATGGAGCTCAGTTTCTTAATCACCTTATTCTGCTGGGGCTTAGAGTGGAATCCTTTCTCCAAATTGGACATTTATGGGGCTGGAGGAGAGACGGAGGGCAGGACGGATGAAGTGTCCACATTCCAGCTGAGAGGTTAAGGGCTTTTGTGTTCCTTCCTTCTAAACTCCAAAGTTCCCAGCCAGGCCTGGGGGTGTCCATGTCTCCCTCAGATGGGCAGGGCACTCCTGTGTCCAAGTCCTCCCCACCCCCAAGATCTCTGCAGTCCAGCTCCTCCTGCCCTCTCTGAAGGAAGCCAGGCTGCTACAACCTGAGGGCCTCCCCAGAGCTCAGCACAGGACTGGCACCCAGAAGGTGTGTGTATTTATGGAGTAAGTGAACCAAATTCGGTCTGATTTTCCCAACCCTGGGAAAGTGTGGGAAAGCCTAGAAACCTCTAGGGGTCTCCCTGACTCCTGGACTGACCACGTTCTGTGGTCAGGACCAGCCTGGAGCCTTCAGATCGTGCATGGGGCCCACTGCAGGTGAGCCTCACTTCACGCCTCAAGGTGAAGCAATGAGTAGAGGTCAAAGTCACCAGGGTGGCTGGCTGTTCAGAGAATCTTGCTCTCACAAAAGAAACTGAGGCCCCTCCAGTACCTCCTCAAGCACAGTTTGGTTTCTGTCACTATCTCAAAGCCAGAACTTTCAGTGGCTCACTAGCGCCCACATGGTCACATCCAGGCACTTCAGCCTGGCACTCATTCCCTTCTTCCCTGCCATGAATCTCCTTCATACTGCTCCCACACCAGCCTGGCGGACCACCTGCCTCTCCTCTCCTCCTGGCCGGCAGGCTCCCAGCACTCCTACTCCATGGCCACCTCTCAGCAGAAGTCCCAGGCCTGCTTTAGGGCAGGCAAATGCAGCCTGGCTGGCCTGGTTCTTCCCCAGCTGTGTGGCTTCAGGGAATTGGCTCTGCCCAGATCAGTGAATCCACTCCGCCTAGCCCTGAGCTGGAAACAGAGGAGACAGAGAGTCACACTGCCATCAAGAGACTCACGGGAGGGGAGACAAGCCAGAGCCCTGGGGCTGTGGGGACTCAGAGGAGACACCTGACCTGGGCTGGAAGTCGGGGAAGGCTTCCTGGAGGAGGTGCTGGCAAAGTTCCGGGAGGGAAACAAAAGAAAGAACAGGGTGGAGAGGCATTTCCCCCAGCAGGTAAAGGTCAAAGGCAACAAGGCGGGTGTCCTGGCTAACCTCTGCCAATGCCCAGCTCACAGGAGCAGTCCCCATCCAGGGGCCACAGAGAAGGGGACTAGACAGCACACAGCTGACCCTCCATGCTGCCACACACCCCTGCACCTTCAGTCCCATCGGAGCCTTCGGACATACCATTCCTTGTGGCCACCCCGCCGCGGAGGACCGCGTCCCCAGAGCGCCGTGGTGTCTGCGCAGCCGGGCGCGATCTGTTATTATCCCCCGTCAGCGCTGCCGGCCTGTGTACATTCCTCCGTAATGAGTCTGACCTCCTCGGCAATGTTTAATCAGAGCCTAATCGACCCTGGCTTTGATCTGCTGCATTTTCTGCAAAAACCCTGGTACCTGATTTTTACAATCTGATTAGCAGGCCAGCTCTCCGAAGCCAAAATTACCCTGAGTTGCAGAGATCCCTGCTGAGTTCTTTGTGTTTTTCCCCCTCTCTTCCAACAAGTTATTTCCTGAGACAACTGTCACTTCCCTCCTTGCCTGTGACTGTCTCCCTCGCCCTCAGCTTTCACATCCAGCCAGTCGTCAGGTCTCAAATAGTGGGTCCTAACCCATCCCCTCCTCTCCCCAGCGGCTTCAGTGCTGGCCACCGCTACCACGGTCTGAGGCTTCTGCCCCTGACTGGCCCTGCAATCTGTCCTCCGCCCCGCAGCCAGTTCTGCTGAGAGCCGCTGCCGCTCTGCCAAGCCATCTGGCCTCAGGAAGTGTTCCCTGCTGAGCCCTCCAGCAGGGCCAGTGGCCAGCCCCACCTCATATTCCCCCCACTCTGTCTTATGCACAGGTTCCTGCCCTCCCCTCTGCCCCGGCGCTTCATCTAGTTCCCTCTCTCCTCTTTCACCAGGCTGCATGCTGGCCCCTCTCCACTCCCGCATCCGTGATCCCCCTTGCCCACCTTGGTCACTGTTCCTTCCATCTCTCCCACCAGACTGCAAAGCCCCTTTAGGAGGTGTCTCTCATGCTCCACTGTTACCCCAGGGAGCAGAGCAATGACTGCCCTGAAGCTGGGTATTCAGAAAATGAGGGAGGAAGGAAGGAAGATTTCCTTGCAGCCCATTCTGGAGGCAGCGCACTGCCAAGTCAGACCTTGGCCCTTCTTATCTTTCAGCACCGCACAGCACAATTCTCCTCTCCAGCTCAGCCCACTCCACTTTCCACCAGGCCCCGGCCTCTCGCATGGAAGACATGGCTTTGTTCTCATCCGCAGTGCTTTTTCCCTCCAAAGTGGGAATGCAGGGTGGGAAAGAGAGCAGAAGTCCCTGTGAGCACAGGAAAATGGTCCTTGCCTGGTTGGTGCAGACCCTGAGCCGAGCACTGGAGGCACAGAGGAATCAGATCCTCTCCCTCTCCTTGGGGAGCTCACAGCCTGTGGGGGAGGCAGTGAGAGGAGCAGATAAACTGGAACACAGGGAAAACGGTGTTCACCTCTGCTCAGGGAAGCTGACTCTGCTTGAAAGAAACAGGCAGGAGTCGAAGAGGGAGCATCTGAGTTGGGTTTGAGAGAGAAATAGGAGTTCTCTAGCCAAGAAAAGAGTGACCACGCAAGGGCGCAGAATCATGAGAACATACGGCAGGTTCAGGGGGCAGGAAATGTTCCGGGGGCCTGAACAGAGGTGGGGGTGGGGCAGCAAGTTTGCTGTGGCCAGATCATGAAAGGAGACCATGCTAGCGAGGTAGGACTGTGGCCTGCAGGATCACTGTGTCTGTCGCCTAACTGAACTTCCTAAAAGTGTGGAGCACTTTCTTTGCCCTGATACACAGTGGATTTCAG